AGAGTTTCTGAAAAAACCAAATATTCTCCACCATATCACAGAAGAGCAACTTTAAATATGTTGTTGTTTTAAATAACATTGTAGAACTGCCTAACACTGATCATGTTTATTAAATATCTTACGTTTTTAACCACAGACATCTATAATACTTTAAAAATACTACAACATTTTGCAGAAATATGCATGTAGTATAAACGATGCTTCAAAATTCAGAAGAAGGTCTAAAATATACAAACAACAACTACAACGTTAAACTAGGTAGAACTCCAGTTTGTTGGCTTATTTAAAATTATTATGTTTTCAGATACACGCAAATAAATGTGATTTATTTTATCAAGTATAGTTTGTTATGCATTTATTTTAATATGGGCGTTGTTTAGCTTAAGTTTATATTTAAAAAACACGCACAGCTTGAAGTGTTAGATATGTATTACGAAACTCCCGCTTATTCTCCAAACTTGTATAATATTCTCGAGAATAAGAATCAATAATATATCTATATACGAAAACGTTTAAATATAGCTCAGTATTGTTCTGTAATCTGAATTTTTCTAGAAAACCTTCCCACGCCAATAAATACAACCAACGCGACGCGCCCAAGGGTGTGTCTATTAATAGTTCGATATAATCAGTGTGCTATAAACTTCGAAAGCTATAACTGTGATTTTTATAACGCTTATCAATAGGAAAACTTCAGATATTTGACCAGGAACCTTTACAAAGTTCGAACACTACAAATTATTTAACTTCAGTAGATTCTCATCGGACATTAGTATTTTTACGAAAACATTACCTAACTTCAACGGACCAAAAATTCAGCGTGTATGGCAAAGGACAAATCTAGCAAGCTTCCCGGGGAATCGTATTTACATCAACTTGAAATTAACTCGCAGACAAGAAAGAAAACTTTATATTATTTGTAAGTTTATGAAACTTCTGTTTATAAATCATTGTTTGTAATAACTATTTGTAATAATTGTTATTGTAAATTGTATTGTTATGTGTATATTAAAACGTATTTGTGTTAATAACGAAAATGGTGCGTATCAATCTTGTTGGCAAATACCATAAACTATATATCGGCTTTTACAAAAATACTAAATCCAAAGTACGATTTAACTACAAAATTTAAATTATCAATTAACTCAATTTCACGCTACTTGAAATTCTAATACGTAACATAATAAATTGGGGGCTTGTCCGGGGTATGAGTCAGAGACAAAATTCAATCTAAATTTAAATTTAAATCACAATTGAATTAATATTTATCAGTGCCAATAATATTTGATCATGTCTAATTATCAATATTTTTTGTATCACCCTCTCTAGAACAATATAACACGAATTGCTCAAAATTTCCAAAGTTTTAGAACTAGAAGTTAAAAGATCAATGAGAAAAAAATGAACTAAAAAAGCGTATTATCAAAATACTAGTCGATGATGTTTTGTTGCCTGAGGAAGCATTAGAGAAATACTCTAGTGTCCTTACTAGCCAATCGGGGTTGAGTGATAAAGATAAATTAGAGATCCAGCTAAAATTGAAACAACTCGAGCTTGAACAGGCTTGAATCGAAGCCGAGAAAGATAAAGAACAAGCTCGTATTGAAGCTGAAAGAGAAAATAAACGTCTCCAGGCCGAAAAAGCTCGCATTGAAGCCGAAAAAGAAATTACGCTGAAATAAATGGAAATTAGACTCAACACTGATCGACCAAGGCAAAATAACAACTTTGAATTTAATCGATATGTTAAAGTACTACCGTTCAATGAAAATGAAGCTGATAAATGTTTCCAACATTTTGAGAAGGTGCCCAAACTATGGAATGGCCCACCGCAAAATGGTCATTATTATTACAAAGTGTCTTAACT